CATATAAAATTGGACCTTTATATAGTCACACTTTTTTATAATCACCAAATGTTTGTTTTCGAAACTGGTGATTATATCGAGGTCTGACTGTATTTGATTAATAGATAATTTGTGTTCTGTAATGTGAGCCACCAATGTACCTAAATGTTTTTATTTCATAATTATTTAAAATATGATTTGAAGGACTAGGAAAATGTCAGTCTGAGAATTTGGATTCTCAAATTCCCAGATTACCTTAAATTAAAGATCAAAACAACTCAAACATATTCGCATACATTATCAAGCTTATTAATTATAACCGAAACCTTTGGAAGTTCCCTTAACAAGCTAACCAATTCAGATTTCAACATAAAGTATAACGGCTACTCATACTGGCAAGAATATATATCTTTATTTAAAAAAAAATTCATATTTTTTTTAAAAAAAAAAAATCATTTTTTTTTTTAAAAAAAAAAAAAAACAAAGACGAAAGAAAAAAAAATTAAATTTTGATTCTTTTTCTTTCATTCTTCTCTAATTCATGAACACGTTTTTCTAATTTTGAAATACGTTCAATCACTAATAATAATTGTTTTTGGACGGTTTCTTCTGGACGAAGATACTACAGTATTATTTATGCAGTAATAATATTAGTGTACATATTTATAGAAAAAAATATCCAAACATATAGTATATTTACAGTGATAGGGCCTTTATTAGAAGCTTAGTAGTGCGAAGCTTCAGTAAATTTAACGTTATAATCATCCGGTTCTTCAAACTTTTTACCAAGCATATTATAATAAAAGGCACCTGCTTCTTCACGAGAAGAAAATTGAACATGCGCAATTCTAAAAAAAAAAATTAATAAAAATATAAAAATAATACCCCAACTATAAAATTATTACAATAACTTAATACTTGCTTTTCCTTCAGTCTTTTGCGAATGTGAACAAAGGAAAGAGGTGTCTTGAACTTGAGCCACATCTCGAGTGGTTTTACCATTACGTCTTCAAGGTCTCCTGTCATTAGGACGGTCAAGTATGGATCAAAGCAACAATGACGCTGCGTATTTTGTGTATTTTCTGTATATATATATACATATATATAAACGACATTATATAGTTTTCCAAAAAAAAAAAAAAAAAACTCAACAAGCTTCTTTTTTAAAGCTAGTAGATTCAATAGTTTTTTTTTTTTTTTTTCACTCCAAAGAAGAAGAAGGCATTCCAAAAGGAAAGGAAGAATCAAAGCACTCTGCAAGGAATCAAGGAAGAGAACACTCTGCAAGGAGGTTAAGATACTCCAAAGGAGAAAAAACAAAGTAGAAATTTCTCTACCTTTTGGCATACCAATCATATAGTTGTTGAAGGATGGGGGTGGTGATAATAGTGCTGCTGATTAATTAAGAAAAAAAATATTGTTAGATCTAAATTTATATCTAGAAATCACGATCATGAAATTTGTTTTGACAAAATTTGTTTTGAGGCAATTTTTAACACGTGATTTAGGTAATTTGGTCATAGATTTTGATTGGCTAAAAATTTCATAATGTAATACACTAATGAGCCACAGGAATTAGTCACATGAAAATAACTGCATATGGAGTCACCAACCCTAGCATACAGTATACACTATATAAGTGTCGCTAAAAGAATACCCGAAAATTTAAATATAATCCATATTTAAATTGTCGAGTTTTCTTTTAGCAAAACTCATATATATGATATAAAATGACCCAGTATACTAATTCTTCAGCATTTGGTCAGTTTTGAGATTCTGCATCTAAGTGTTCCAGGAATATCATGATATAGCAGATAGCTAGTAAAAAAACTTATAATCATTAATACATTTGTATAGAAATAATACCTTAAAAGTGATGTAATTGAATCTTTATCACTTTTTTTACACTTTTAATGGAATTTCAGGTAACTGATCCGGAGGATTATGTTTCCACTTTTTGACTATCTTAACCAATAGATAAATATACTGTAGCCTAGACTAAAAACGGAACCTAATGCATTATGATCACGGTTATTAAGCTACTTGATTTACAAAGCATAACAATTTAGAAAACAGAAATACCAAGAAATCAACTTATAAAACAAAATAATTGTACTAACCCTTTATCCGATAAATTGTAAATTCCATTTATAATAGAAATTGCTTCTTTCTCAAGCATTAACGGATTCAATATCGGGTGTGATGGTGGACATGATGCCAAAGAAATATCATTTTGTAGCATCACCTATAAACGATAAAGTCAATTAATGTTTAAATTATCGCGTATAGTTATTGATGAAAAGAAAAAACTTACCTGAGAATCATGCACATGACGCGATTGGACTTTCACTACTGACTGCAGATACTTCACGGCACAAATCTTGATCCCTTGTTTGGTACCCGGAGAATCGAAAAAACGCATAATTTGCGATTTAATCGATGTCGCTATACTCCAAAGTTGCTCTGCATCATGTGCATTTTCGCATCTACCAAACGAACCAAAAAAAAAAATTTTTTTTGATGGGAGGAATAAACGAGTCATGTGACCAATGAAAAAAATACAGTAAAACCGGATACATATTAAGAAAAAAAGAAAAAGATCACTAACACTCTTTTGTAAATCAAAGGATAAACACCGGCATTCCAAAGAATCGCCTTCTTAACAATGATTGTTGATTCTTCAAAACTAATTGTATATCCTATTGTAGGCATAATTTTTCCTAAACCTTTAATGACACGATTATTTTCAAAATTAAGGACAACTTTATTATCTATTTTAATTACATATTTATTTATATTTTTTGTTTTTTTCACTATTCTGTTCAAGGATCTATCTATTATATTAATAGTAGGTTTTTTACGTGAGCATGACATTTAACAAAAAAATTGTCGCATGGCTATATCAAATAAACATTAAATAACGAACGATCTTAATTTTAAGAACATTCGATCATTTAAATATGATAATGCCAATTATTGCTCTATATATAACACTTAAATTATTCTGTTGTATAAAAAGAAAAGAAGCAATTTCTATTATAAATGGAATTTACAATTTATTGGATAAAGAGTTTGTACAATTATTTTTGTTTTCAAGTTGATTTCTTTGATATTTCTGTTTTCTGAAATTGTTATACTTTGTAGATCAAGTAGTGTAATAACTGCGATCATAAACGCATTAGGTCCTGTTTTTAGATCTAGGCCACAATATATTTATCCATTGATTAAGATAGTCAAAAAGTGGAAACATAATCCTCCGGATCAGTTACTTGAACTTCCATTTAAAAGTGTGAAAAAAGCGATAAAGATTCAATTAACATCACTTTTAAGGTATTATTTTTGTGCAAATATATTAATGAATCTAATACATATATACATATATACATAAATACATACATAAATACCATATATACCATACATACCATTTATACATATATATATATAAACGTGTGAACTTTTGTTTAGAATCCCAGTGTTCGAGTCTTCTTCATATGCGAACGAAATTTTTGATGCTATACTTATTTTGGGCGGTAAAAATGATCCAATGAAATTTCCAAGACAATATCGACGACTTTTACAACAGAAAGAAGGAATGGAAGATGGTTCTAAAAGTTCTACGCAAAAGATTTATGGAGGTTCTCGACTTTCCGGTATTTTAAGTGGTTTATATACAATTCAATGTTCTTATTACAACTTATTACACAATGTTATTAACGAAATATAATAAAAATTAGCTCAAGGATCATCGATGATACCGATTGATCCTACACAGTTCGCACTACCTTTCGTGGTTGATGTTATACATTTGGCTTTACAAGCTATTCCACAAGAAAGACTTAATCAAGCAAAACAGGTTTACTATTATTACTAATTTACTTATTTTTATTTACTAAAGATTTCTAAATACGTATTTTAAATTATTTGGTATATAGGCTTTACAACAACGCGAAGCACGGTTAGCTGCGCTTCGAACTTTATCAACACCACCTCCGACCAGTAAACAAGAACGACGAAATCGTAAAACTCTTGATCCACGATTAGAATTTACTAGAGATGCAACTCCTAAATCCCCTTCTCCTCCCCCTGTCATTATGACAGATGAAATAATGCATATTAAAACTGAAGCTTCCAATACGATCGATACGATCGATACGATCAATACGATCAATACGACTCAGTCAGAAGACTCTACAACGAAACGTGAGTTTTCTCCTCCTTTATAT